TTTCCTCTCTGCTCCCTCCAGCTGCTCTTTCTGGTCTCTGGCCTGACCACACCTCCTCTCCCTGCCTGACTCTACCTCCTCTGCCTGACCTGGGAATGGTGACCTCCCTGGGGCACCCTGAACTCTCTTCTCTCCATAGTAAGCCCACCCATTCCCACTGTCGTAGATGCCCCCTGTATAACCCCAAGCCTCTGTCTCCAGGCCAGATGTCCTGCCTGAGCTGCAGACTCCCGAGTTCAGGAGCCTCCACTTGGATGACTCACGAGCATGTCAAACTCAGCAGGGCTGGAACGGAGCTGTGGACCTTGCCCTGTGTTTCCAGCTCCTCTGCCTCCCCTCTTCCTCACCCATCGAAAGATCAGGCCAGGAAGTGGGGGCCATTCATGCCACCCGCCTCCCCAGCACCCCTACTTCACCCAGTCTTTGCATCTCACTTCCCAAATACAACTCCCTGGGGCCAAGTGAGATTTGCTCTCCTGGGATGAAGGCAGGGCGCCCTGACACAGTCCCACTGCAATGAATATATGGGGGATAATACCCCATACAAGGTTGTCATGAGGAGTAAATTGAAGAGATTAAGTGGGAGGACTCAGATCTAAGGGTCTTTGTAGGTGCCAGGCAGCATAGACAGTTGAGTGGACATCGGCCATGATGGTAACATAGTTGGTGCACTGAAGAATTCAGAGTAGGGCTGGGATCTGGAGATGGTAATAACCTGGGGGTCTGTGCATGCAGGCCGGAGTCCAAGAGATGGTTCAGAGAAAGTTCCTCTAGTCAGCCTAAGGCTGGGTGCTGTGGCTCACTGCTGTAATCCCAGCACTTCTGGAGGCTGAGGTGGGAGGATCGCTTGAGTCTAGGAGTTGGAGACCAGCCTGGGCAACATGGCAAAACCCCATCACTACAAAAAAAAATACAAACAAAACAAAACAAAACAAACAAAAAAAGCAGTGGCTCTAGTCAGCCAGATAGAAACGACTTGGGGTGCAGGCTCTAAGGTACGCAGCTGCCCAGAAGCCTGGCTGGTAGATGGAGATGTGAACGGGGCACAGGGCTCTCTAGGTGAGCAGGAGGCAGCAAAAATGACACTTCCAGGGGGTCTACGTGGGAGGAAGATGGGGCCAGGAGGAGGGCACTTCAGGTCAGACTGAGGGAGAATGTGCCATCCCGAGGAGACTGCTGATGTAATTATGAAAGTCTATGTCCTAGTTCCTGTAACACTGCCCTGGTGTACAACCTCGAGCCACTGCAGACTGCACGTGTGAGGACCCCTGCCTGCCCTGTCTGGCTTCTCTGAACCTAATAAGGGAGAGGATACATATGGAAAAAGAACACAGAAGAGAAAGACAAAAAAAAGCACCAAGGTCCATGTTCAGATAGCCCTGGTAATTTTAACTTGCAGCTCACCCAAGAAGAGCTTAACGGTCGCGAGAGTATATAAGAAGCCCCCACCCGACCCTGCCCAGCACGCAGCACCCAAGGGAGGCTGGAAGCAGAATGCGCGTGCCCAGTACAGCGCTATTCAGTCCGCAGGCTTTTTGAGGGTTTCAACTTCAAAGAAAGGTCGGCTTCGGGGCGGACTTTGCTTCAGTCCCAGGTCTCGGGAGAAGGCGGGGAGACAGACTGGGACACCGAGCATGCACAAGGGGAGGGATCTTGAAATAGGCGGAAAGCGAGAATGCTCCCCTCCGGACCCGGTTTGCCAGGCGAAGTGAGAAGCACTGAGGCCTGAGGAAGCTCCACGCGCGCGCAAAGGGCCACTGGGGTGGCGATGGTTGTGAGAACGCTGCTGCCCCGCCCGTGCCGAAAGGGAAACCCCAGGGGAGGCGGAGGCCAGCGGGGACCTGTGGTCCCCTTCATTCACGACGGACAGAAAGGGCGACCCCCCAAAGCCACTTCCAGATCTTGCGACGGGAGCAGAGTTACCACAGAGACGCCCGTCCCAAGGCCCCGCGCATCGGAAGTTTCAGTCCCCTAGATTCTGGCTGACGACGCGTCCCCAAGGCAAGTTCTTCGCAGCAGCCGACCCGCCCCACTCCGGACACAGCGAGGTCTGAGGACCACGTTGAGACGTCATTTCCGTCGTGATCCGCGGCCGCTATGGAAGGGGCGGAGCCGCAGCGGAGAGCGCTCAGCTTAGACGTCATTTCCGGGGAGCCCAGCGGAGGCCACGGCAACATGGCCCTGAACGGCGCTGGTGAGGACTTGGGCTGCAGGGGCTTGTGGCTGCGGGTACGGGAGGCAGCCCACTGCGGCAAGATCCCAGTCTCTGTACCTCTCTTCCCCAGAAGTTGACGACCTCTCCTGGGAACCCCCAACTGAGGCGGAGACGAAGGTGCTGCAGGCGCGACGGGAGCGGCAAGATCGCATCTCCCGGCTCATGGGCGACTATCTGCTGCGCGGTTACCGCATGCTGGGAGAGACGTGCGCGGACTGCGGGGTAAGGCGAGACCCGGGAAAGTGACAGGGGATGGGGCCTTGGGCCAGGCCATTCAGCCCTTCCTCGGCCCTCCCCTCTGGACCTCATCGCCGCGTCTCATTCCGGCCCTTTGTGCCTTTTGGTCCGTAGACGATCCTCCTCCAAGACAAACAGCGGAAAATCTACTGCGTTGCTTGTCAAGAACTCGACTCAGATGTGGATAAAGATAATCCCGGTGAGGGTAAAATATAATCCGGGCAAGGTGCGGGGTGTGTGATTGGCGGAGAAGCGTGATGAATGGTGATAGAGGCCCGAGAACAGTAGGCCTGGGAGGTGACAGTGGAGTCTCTGGGTGGGGCAGAGGTAAAATGTTTTCTCCTTTAGGCTCTAAAGAGGACCATTCACTCAGTAAGAGCAGCAAGCACCTTCTGTATGCCAGCCACTGTGCGAGAGTCTGAGCTCAGTCAGACCCAGTACTGATGGAGAGTTGAAGCTAGGGCATAAATGTGATACATAGTAGAAAGTGGATAAGTTGCCTTATAGAGGGACAGGGAAAACACCTCGAGCACAGAAAGAGCAGAGCAGAAAAGGAGATGGCTCAGGGCTGAGGTGGGCCAGGCATCCTGACCATTCTGCTCACTTCTCTTTTTAGCTCTGAATGCCCAGGCTGCCCTCTCCCAAGCTCGGGAGCACCAGCTGGCCTCAGCCTCAGAGCTCCCCTTGGGCTCTCGACCTGCGCCCCAGCCCCCAGTACCTCGTCCGGAGCACTGTGAGGGAGCCGCAGCAGGGCTCAAGTCAGCCCAGGGACCACCCCCTCCTGCTGTGCCTCCAAATGCAGATGTCATGGCCTGCACACAGACAGCCCTCTTGCAGAAGCTGACTTGGGCCTCCGCTGAACTGGGCGCTAGCACCTCCGTGGAGACTAGCATCCAGCTGTGTGGCCTTATCCGGGCATGTGCGGAGGCCCTGCGCAGCTTGCAGCAGCTGCAGCACTGAGAGTAGCCCCTGAGAAAAACCCTCTAGAAAAACAGCTGTTCCTCTGTGTGGTTTGTTCTTTTCCTGGTTCTGAGTGTGCATGCCAGCCCCAGCTCCACTCACTTTTTTCAACTTTTGGCCTCTCACCTCTCCACTGTCTGCTCTCCTTGACGCCCTGAGATGAGTTGAGCCTGTTTCTGCTCAGTTTCCCCAGTCAGGATGAGGGATTAGCCAGAGGACTATGTGATGCCCCTTTTCTCAGGAAGAGGACATAGCCTCTTCAAAGGTAGGAGCCAGAGGGCTGGACCCTACCCTCGTCTCTGGCAGCACCTCTGCAACCTCTTCCGCCATTCGGTGCCCATTCCCCAACCGGAAGTGAGATTTTGGGTTCCAATCCTCTTGATAGATTCCTCTCCTTCCCCTGAGCATTCTGACCCTATCACCCTATCCCAGCCATGCCCACCCCAGGTATTCAGACACCGAGCGACAGGAGTTTGTGGTGACCCCAGTGTCAAGGAGCACGTTAGGCACCAAGTGTGGACTTGCCAGTCTCCTGACTCCACTGTTAGATCATTTTCCTTGGGAGGGTAATGGGCAGAACTCCGGGCTTGGGGGGCGGCGGGGAGCGGGACGCGGCAGGGAGACGAGGCAGCAAAAAGAACCGCGAAGGAACCACGCCTGCCCCTTTTGGCCTTTCCTCCTCTCCGCCTCCCTTTTCCATCTCTTCTTGGGTGGGTGCCCTGCTGCCTTTCCTCAGCTTTGCGCAACGTGGTCCCACAGCTGTTGCCTTTTTAAGAGAGGCCCGGCCCATGCGGAGGGGGTGGGGCAGAGGCGGAGTCTGAGGAGCTTGGGAAGGAACAAAGCGCGGCCTGCGGGCGGCGGCTGGGCTCTGGCTGGGCCGCGGGGTGCGGGGCCTGCGGGCGGCGGCCCGGGCAGAGCGTTGAAAGGAAGAAGGTGGCATCGCCGTCTCCGCCGGCCCGGCCATGAACGGGCTGCCCTCGGCCGAGGCGTCAAGCGGCGCGGGCTGCGCCCTGGCCGGGCTCCCACCGCTGCCGCGCGGCCTCAGCGGCCTCCTTAACGCGAGCGGGGGCTCGTGGCGGGAGCTGGAGCGCATCTACAGCCAGCGCAGCCGCATCCACGACGAGCTGAGCCGCGCCGCCCGCGCCCCGGACGGGCCCCGCCACGCAGCCGGCGCCGCCAACGCGGGACCCGCAGCCGGTCCTCGTCGTCCTGTCAACCTCGACTCGGCACTGGCCGCGCTGCGCAAGGAGATGGTGAGTGGTGGGCGCCGGACCAGCGGGGCGAGGGGCTGCCGCGGAGCGCAGAAACCCAGACAGGCTGCCTGGGTCTCAGAGAACTTGCAGGCACCGGTTGGGTTCCAAGGGTTATGGGAACGATAATTAGTGATAGTTACCAATTATGGCAATAGTTACCCTATATTTTCAGACGTTTTGCTGATGTGACTTCATTCCATCCTGCTAAATGCATGATAACCCCATTTTTTTAGGTGAGGGTCAGGACTTGCCTAAAGTTGCACAGCTTGCAGGTGGTGCCTGATGTCCACAAAAACTTTGTTTAGGAAGGTGCTGGGAAGATGGGCCCACGATTCCAGGGGATGGGGCTGGGCTGGGGTGGCCTGGACCCCAACTCCAGCCCACCCTCAGTTGTCTGCAGGTGGGGCTGCGGCAGTTGGACATGTCCCTGTTGTGCCAGCTGTGGGGCCTGTACGAATCAATCCAGGACTACAAACACCTGTGCCAAGACCTGAGCTTCTGCCAGGACCTGTCATCATCCCTCCATTCAGACAGCTCCTACCCACCTGATGCGGGCCTGTCTGACGACGATGAGCCTCCTGATGCCAGCCTGCCTCCTGACCCACCACCCCTCACTGTGCCCCAGACGCACAATGCCCGTGACCAGTGGCTGCAGGATGCCTTTCACATCAGCCTCTGAAGGGCTGGGGGGCAGGTGGGCATGCACCCATGCAAAAGGCTCAGAAGCCCCCTCGGCGAGCCCTCAGACTGCAGAGCGTGCGCCTCCCCACACCGCCTCACCTCACAGGAGGGCCAGGCATGCATCCCTCAGAGGCGAAACTGCCAAACCCCTTCTCCTGTCTTGGGTTGGCTGGCACTGGGGCGGGCACCTAGAGTACAGCCTCTGCCCATGGCACTGGGCCTCCACTTCTTCCACATATGTGCACCCCCAGCTTGGCCAACCCTCAGCCTTGCGGTGGGGCCCAAAGCATCTTCCCCTCTCCTTGGCGTCTCTGGGATTGGGATGAGTGCCTGGCTCCCATCTCCTCACCTTTTGTTGCTATCGGCAGCTGCTGGCTCAGGGGCATCCCACCTCCGGGCTCCGGGTTCCTCTGTCCTGGAAGGGCTCCAGGACCCGTCCCTACACCCTCCCACGGCCAGAAGGGCCAAGGCCCCATGCTGGATATTTAAATTTAGGGGCCGGCCTCCTGGGCGCGTAGATAAATAAATACTCTAAGTGTCACTGTGCTCTGGCTGGCTGGTTCTGGGGCGGGAAGACCGCGGTGTTTTGGGCAGGTGCGGCCCCGCGCTCTGCCGGCAGGTGGCGCCCGAGACCCCCGAGTGAAGGCCCTGCTGTCCTGCCCGGGCGGGGCTGGGGACGCTCAGGCTGGTTGAGCCTGTCTCCGCCGCTGAGTGACTGCGGTGGAGTCACTTCCCCTCTCGTCGGGGCCTTGGAGTGCCCCGCCCCGCCCCCTTCGGACTTTCCCTGCCGGCTGGGAAGGAGAAGGAGCCGCCCACCTTGAGGAGGGAAACTTTCCACCCCGCGCGGGGCGGGGTTGGGGCGGCGCAGGAAATGGGTGGCTGGAGTCGGCGGAGCAAGGGGCCCCGGGGTGGGGGAGGGGGGAGAGGGCGGGGAGGCGCCTTCTGGGATGGCCTGGAAGCTCAAGCCCTGCGGATGGGAGGGAGGGGCGGCGGCACAGGCGGAGGGGAGTGAAGTCGCGGCACCCCGGGCCTCCCCGGAGGCCAAGGCATGAGACTCCGCAGCGGTGGGGGGTGATTGGGGTCCCAGGCACCCTTATTCCCCGCTCAGTCTGAAGACCGCCAGCTCTCCCCACAGCACTAGCGGCTTCTATAGTTATCTGTAAAAGATTTTTATTAGGAAATCGGGGACCTACACCGCTGGGACTGGGAACCAAACTTAGGTGTCAGGCCCATCGGAAAAAGCCTGCACGTTCGGAGACGGTGGGTACTCAGCCCCCCGCGCGTGCACACTGTACCCCACAACCTCCTGAAAAGAAGTGAAGCCACACACCGAGGCGTGCGGACGAGCAGTGCATTCCCGCGCCCTGCTGCAGACTCTTGCCTCCTGGAGATGCAGCCCAACTGGTAGTCCTGGCCCTCAGACATCCCTTTAAACCGAGTAGCAGTCGCGCACCGGGCTCCTGTCCATCCACACCTTGCAGAGCAGCGGGGAGGCAGCAAACTGACCTGTTGCCCCAGAGCAGCTGACACCTGCGGAGGCTCATTACCAAGCAGGGTGAGTGGGTAGGCCATAAGGGCTCTAATCTAGGGGTTCACAGAGCCGCTAACGCCCCAGGCAGGCTTTTCTCGGGGAGAGAAACATACACACAAAAACGACAGGTTCTCCCATCCATGATAGCGCATCCCTTTCAATGAGGCATGGCAAAATCAGCCAGCTCCCTGCTAAATGCTTTCTGAGGTTTCATCCTTTCAGTGATTCCGTAAAAGGCCTGTCTATAATTATCCCCATTTAACAGACATTGAAACTGAGGCTCAGAGCGTTAGCGCTTTGCCCATGGTTACACACTTGGTTGGAGGTCAGTTGTGAATCTCCAGCTGCTCGTCGTGGGTTGGGATTATCTTCACACTTGACAGCAGAGTCAGGCTCTCAGATTGCGGGAGGGTACCCCCCCACACAGGTATGGCCACCGAGGTTAGTCCTGACTCTACACCTTTTGCTCTGGTTAAGACGTGGGTGGCTGCACCCTGGAGTTGAGGAGAGCTGGTCCTCGTCCAGATTCACAGTATGACTGAGCAAGTCCCTTCCCCTTTCTGGGTCTCAGTTTTCCTAGATGGTGAAATGGGGCCAGCAGTACATACCTCCGGGGGCTGCGGGCAGGAAGGGAGGCGGCCCAGGCAGCTCTCTCTAGGGTGGCACCAAGTTTCGGGTTGCCCTCTCTCCGGGCCCAAGCGTCCCTCACCCGGCCAGTGGGGTCCAGGCAGCCTCTGCGCGCAGCAAGCGGGCGCTGCGGTCGGGCGACATCCCCTCCACACCCCCGCTCCCGCTCACACTCCCCGGTCACGACGCGAGGCCCCGGAAGCCGGGTTGCCCCGCCCCCACGCTCCTGCCCCGGCCCCCGCCCCGTGCCGGAGCCCCGCCCGCCTTCCGACGGGGGTGCGGCTCCAGGAAACGGCGCGCTCGAAGCTCTGCGCTCCGCCACCCGACGCGCTCCAGACCCAGACGACCCCACCGACTCAGCCAGACCATCCGACGGGCCCCAGTGGCGGCAGCGGAGAGCGCGATCCCGGGTTGGAGCCTGGGACACCTTAGCACGGACGGGGCGGGCAGCGCAGACAGGCCATGGGGACCCGGGCCAGGCCAGCGGAGGCGGGCCAGCGGGAGTCCCGAGCCTGAGAAGTGGGCAGCGGGGCAGCAGTGGCCATGACCTCGGTGTGGAAGCGCCTGCAGCGCGTGGGCAAGCGGGCAGCCAAGTTCCAGTTCGTGGCCTGTTACCACGAGCTGGTGTTGGAGTGCACCAAGAAATGGTGAGTGGCAGGAGGCCGGGGGTGGGGGGGCTTCCCCCCCGCTGGCTGGGACCCCATCCGGCCTTTGAACCTGAGAGGACTCTGCCCCCAAGCCCAGTGACCAAATGGGCCCCCACCTCAGCTTGGGCCCTGGTTCCATTCCCAGACTTGGAGATTCAGAGGCCCTTGCAACTTGTGGGACCCCTGGAGTTGGGGGTATGGGCAGCCTTCCCTGCGTGGGGGTCAGGACTTTCAGGCCTGAGGCTCTGCCTGTGTCCACTCCCTCCTCTGCTGTGGTCAGGGCTGGGAGAGGGAGGCCGCATGTCTTCTGCCAGAAAGGTGGTTCAGGGTGGCATGGAAAAGGGAGCACGTTTTGAGGTCTGCAGGTGGCCAGGGCTGGGACAGAAACCTCCCTGACCTTAGTCCACCCCACAACAGAGATGTTGCCCCTCCTCCCCTGCCATCTTGAGCCAGAAGAACCCCTCCAACTCCCGCCTCTTCAGCCAGAGTGTTGGGAGGCTGGAAACATCTCCACAATGTCCTTAAAAGGGTAAACTGAGTGCTGGGAGGAATGAGGAGGGAGGCGGGGGGGCGGCTTAAAGGGGCCTGAGGACCTAGGAGTTGTGGGTCCGGGAGGAGAGGGCTGCAGAGGGCACAGTGGCTGGGTGAGGGGCGATTCACTTGAGGGTGCAGGCCCCAGCCCGGACTGCCAACAGACTCAGGGGCATCTCATTCACATGCCCCCACCCACAGCTGCTCAGGCCCCTGCGTCACACCCTAAATATACGTGCTCGCTGGTGTCAGCTTCCCTTGGCTGGATTAGGGCACAGCTGTGGGGGCCTCACCCACCAGGCGGGGCTAAATTTAGGCTCCCCAGGGGAAGGGCTGGGGCAGGAAGGGACCATGGGGTCCAGGGTGAGGGGAGTGAGCAGGAGGCTGGGGTCCCTTGGGCAGCTGCCTTGCCTACACTGGGCCTGCTAGAGGGCCGTTCACTCCATTCAGCAGAGCACCAGAGAGCTTGGGGGCTGGCACTTGAACTCTGGCCTCTGGCTCCTGCTCCAGCATCCTGAGGGAGGCCAGGGAAATGCTGGGCACAGCAGGCTGAGGGTGCCGGCAGTGTCAACGCAGCTGAGTCACAGGCAGCTGTGGGTAGGGCCTCCTGGGCTGCTTAGCCCGGAGCCCAGGCCAGGAAGCTGCCCCTGCCCAGGTCGCAGCTTCCCAGGAGGGCGTTCCCAGCCTGAGTCAGGCTGCCCAGCCAAGCCCCGCCTTCCCTAGGCACCCCCTGTCCGCTTCCCCTTTCTGGGAAGGCCCCTTAGTTACCCTTGCTCTGCCATTGCCGGCAGTTTGGGCTTGGGGAAGGGAACTTGGCTCTGGGCTGGAGGGCTCTAGGCTCAGCAGTATAACCTTATTTGGCTCCAAACCTCTCTGAGCCTCAGCATCCTCAGGGTTAACAGAAAGCCAGTTATCCTGGCTTGGCTCCCAGAGGAGCAGTGAGCTGGGCAAACCCGAGCATCTGGCGTGGGGCTGGGTACAGGCAAGGCAAGCTTGTGTGCTGCCCTCGGCCGATTGTTCCCTCAAGCATCACCTCTCCTGAGTAGCAGTTGAACATCTAACCCAAAGGGGCTCTCTGCCCCCAGGCCCGGCTGTGAGAGTCCACTCAGTGTCTGGGAATGGGTCCTGTGCAGCTGTCCCTCTCCTCTTGCTTTGCCTCTGCGTCCCCATATCTCTGCCTCTTGTGTGTCTGCCCCGGCATATACTGTTCTGCTTAGATGTCACCCCCTGCAAGTTTTCCCTGATTGCCCCGCAGGCTCCATTGTCATCATCTTGCTGCAAGGCTGATCCTCCTTAGGACCCCTGGGCCCAGAAAAGGGCTGGACATGGTCGGTGAGGGATGACGGTGTTGGTTAATGGCAAACTGACCCTCTGCTGCCTCTCTGGCCTCACCCCCAACTCTCTGACCTCATCCTCCAGCCACAGACCCTTGGACTTGCCATTCCCTCTTTCTCCAGATCCTCGCAGCCCATCTCCCGTCACTCATGTCTCTGCTGACACCCAACCTCAAGGAGACTCCCAAGGGGTTCCCTCACATCACCCTGAAGTTCACTTGTTAAAGTATTTTCCTTCTTGACTGGTAGTCTGCCCCCACCTCCATTGTCCTCCCTGGGGAGTTCTTGCCTCTCCTTTGCCCTGCTCTGTCCCCAACACTGGGCTGGGTTTACAGTGGGTACTCCACAAACATCTGTGCACGAATGGATTTCTTTTACCCCCGTCTTTGTCTCTATGTTGGAGTCTGTGTGTGTGCGCGACACTCCAGTGCGCATCTGTGTCTGGCGTCTCTTGCCTCGTCCCTGTTTCTGTGTCTCGGTCTCTGTACATGCCTGTCCCTGTCTCTCTTGCTGTCTGTCCTCATAGTCAGTGCCTGCCCACACTGTCTGGGCCTTTGCCCTTCTGCTCCGGCCCCACCCTGCCTCAGCAGCTCCACCCTGCACCCTGTGGCCCCAGATAAGGGGCTGCCCAGGCCCTCTCCTGGAGGGAGGGGGAGGTGGGCAGAAGGAAGACCCTGAGGGAGCTGGGGGGAGGAGGAGGAAGAGGAGATGGGGAGGCGGGTGAGCCTGACTAAGCAGCCCACTCCCTTCCCCATCCCACTCCCCCAGGCAGCCGGATAAGCTAGTGGTGGTATGGACCCGGCGGAACCGACGCATCTGCTCCAAGGTGGGGAAGGATGGCAACTGGGGGTCCAGATTAGGGATGTGGGCCAAGGGGAGGCTGAAGGCGGCAGATGGGGGAGTGGAGTCAGGTTCAAGTTCAGATCAGAATCCACAGAGGGGAGAGGAAGATGGTGTCAAGGTTGGTGATGGGGGTGGGGGTGAGAGGAAAGAGTTAAGATGGGGTGAGGACTTAGATTGCCCCTTGTAGGCCCACAGCTGGCAGCCGGGCATCCAGAACCCATACCGGGGCACCGTGGTGTGGATGGTACCTGAGAATGTGGACATCTCCGTGACCCTCTACAGGGTAAGTCTCTAGCCCCCCAGCATGGATGGCAATGGGCAGGCATTTGCAACCCAGGCAGTCACCAGGGTCTCCTGGTAAGTTGTTCATCCAGATAGAAGAGGATGTGGGGGGTGAGGCCAAGAACTGGGGGGACCTGCTCAGCATGACTGGCCCAGGAGGCCTCCTTGCAGAAGGCAGCATTTACCCACCCAACACATGTAGCCTGAGAGGCAGCTGGGACCAGAACCTGGGCATTCCGGGAGGAGGAAGCAGCATGTGTAAAAGCTGCCACCTCGTGCCTGTAGTCCCAGCTACTTGGGAGGCTGAGGCACAAGAGTCACTTGAACCTGGGAGGCTGAGGTTGCAGTGAGCCAAGCACCACTGCACTTCTGCTTGGGTGACAGAGCAAGACTCCATCTCAAAAAAAAAAAAAAAAAAAGATGCCACCAAGCACCTCCTGAGCCAGCGCAGGCTCTACTCCCTTTGCTGTCGCCCCAGCAGCCCTGTCTCACCAGCACCCTTCTTCCCAGGACCCTCACGTGGACCAGTATGAGGCCAAAGAGTGGACATTTATTATTGAAAATGTGAGTGTCTGGAGTGGGCTCAGGTCTGGAATCTTGGGGACCCTGGGACCGCACCGATGCCCCTTTCCCTTGTCTCCCCTCTGGCCCACAGGAGTCTAAGGGGCAGCGGAAAGTGCTGGCAACAGCTGAAGTGGACCTGGCCCGCCATGCAGGGCCCGTGCCCGCCCAGGTCCCGCTGAAGCTGCGGCTGAAGCCCAAGTCGGTGAAGGTGGTGCATGCTGAGCTGAGCCTCACTCTCTCAGGGGTGCTGCTGCGGGAGGGCCGTGCCACGTGAGTGCCCACCTGCCCTCCTTGACCCTGGCCTGTGACCTCTGACCCCCACCCTCACCTATGACCTCTGCCCCCTAGGGATGATGACATGCAGAGTCTCGCAAGCCTCATGAGTGTGAAGCCTAGTGATGTGGGCAACTTGGATGACTTTGCTGAGAGTGATGAAGACGAGGCTCATGGCCCAGCAGCCCCCGAGGCCCGTGCTCGAATCCCCCAGTCAGGTGGGCTCACAGCCTGCTGCAGATCAGGGCTGCCAAGACCTGGGGAGGGAGGGTTGCCCGGGCCACCAGCCACTGGTTGCTCCCGCCCTGTGATGGGAACTCGTTACTGCTCAGGCAGTCCCAACCAACCCAGCAGCCTCGATTGTCTCAACCCGGCTGCCGGTCCCATGGTGGCCTCAGTCTTCAGCTGAGTCCTGGAGGATGGGTTCCCAATGCCTCCCTGGGCTCGTGGGTCATCTCCTCATCCCCACGTGGTGCTTGCCAGGCCCGTACGTGACCCAGGACAGTGGGTCAGAAGCCCAGCTCCTGATCGCTCACCACCAGCCCTCCTGGGCCAGCAGGGGCTTCATCATCCCTCCCCGCTGCTTGTCCAGGCTTTTTCTCTGTCTGCTGTTGTGGTTCTCTCTCTCTTTCTCTTCACATCTGTGGGCCTGTCTCTTCTCGCAGGCCGGGGCGGTGCCCTGAGGCCGGGGCGTTTCCCAGGTAGGCCCTGCACTCTAGTTGGGGGGAGGGGGTCAGGCCTGCAGGGCCCTGCCCTCGGCTAACTCTGCCCTTTTCCCCACTCCTACCACCCCCAGATCCTTCTCGAGAGCTGAAGACGCTTTGCGAGGAGGAGGAGGAAGGCCGAGGACGACCCCAGCAGGCAGGTGAGACCCAGGCTGGGGCTGGGGGTAGGGACTGGACCCCAGGTCACCGGGGCCAGGCCTCAGCATCCCCCACTTCCTCTTCAGTTGCCAGCCCTTCTAGTGCTGAGGACACCAGCTCAGCCCCTGTGAGTGCTCCTGCACCCCCAGCCAGAGCCTCCCGAGGCCAGGGGTCAGAACGAGCTACTGAAGCTGGGGGCCAGGTGGGCCCTGAGGCCCCAAGGCCCCCGGAAACCTCAGCAGGGATGAGGTGAGCTTTGGAACCAGCCCCACCCCCCCCATTGCCCCCGATAGGAGCTGCATCCCTCACCCGATACCAACCTGCCTCTCCAGGGCCCCAACAGTCTGAAGGGTGGGGGATGGTGCTGAGAACTGGGGGCATGTGAGCCCCCAGCATCCCTTCCTGCTCTCTTCTCAGGTCTTCAAGGCAGCCAGGCCAGGACACAGCCCCCACCCCAGCCCCTCGGCTCCGGAAAGGCTCGGATGCCCTCCAGCCCTCAGTCCCCCAAGGGGAGGATGAGGTCCCCAAAGCCTCAGGGGCTCCCCTAGCAGGATTGGGCTCTGCCAGGGAGACCCAGGCCCAGGCACGACCTCAGGAAGGGACAGAAGCCTGTGGAGCTAGGCTGGGCCCAGGCATTGAGGAGAAAGGCTCTGGAGAGCCTTTTGGAGGGCAGAGACTCAAGGCTGAAGAGATGGGTACTGGGGACAGGCCAGAGGCCAGTGGGGGGGACGCTGAGGCCAGTCGGGGGAACACTGAGGCCAGTGGTGTGGACAGTGAGCCCAGGGCAGGAGGCAGAGAGGTCAACACTAAGAGGGCAGGAGTCAGAGCTGGGGAGGCTACAGAGAGTTCAGCAGTTTGTCAGGGGGATGCTGGGCAGAGGTTAAAGGTGGGACATGTGGACACTAAGGGACCAGAGGCAACAGGGGCTATGCCTGAGGCAAGATGCAGGGGGACCCCTGAGGCTCCTCCAAGGGGCTCTCAGGAGAGGGTGGGAGTCAGGACTAGGGATGAGGCTCCCTCAGGCCTGAGCCCGCCCCTAGTGGAGACTGCAGGGCACTCTGGGCATCTTGGTGACCTCCAGGGGGCCAGGGTTGCTGCAGGCCAGGAGAGAGAGGGTGCAGAAGTGAGGGGCGGAGCCCCTGGTATTGAGGGGACAGGCCTGGCGCAGGGCCCCTCTGTTGAAGCAACAAGCACTGGGCCACAGGTGAGCAGCTGGCAGGGGGTCCTGTTATCAGCTACCCAGGGGGCGATATCTAGGGTTCTGGGGGCCTGGGAGGCAGAAGCTGGGGGTTCACGGGTCCTGGAGACAGAGATTGAGGTGGTAGGGTTGGAGGTGCTGGGGGCCCAGGAGAAAGAAGTTGGGGGGTCGGGGTTCCCAGAGACGAGGACACTAGAGATTGAGGTACTGGGGGTCTTAGAGACAGAAGCAGCAAGCTCAAGGGTCCTGGAGGTGGAGTTTGCGGGGACAGCACAGTGTGAGGGACTGGAGACCCAGGAAACCCAGGTGGCGGTCACAGAGGCCCCAGGGACAGAGACTGGGGTGGCAGAATCTGAGGTATTGGGGACCCAGAAAACAGAGGCTGGGGGTTCAGGAGTTGTGGGGACAAGAACTAGGATAGCAGAGACTGAGATACTGGGGACCCATGAGATATCTGGGGACTCAGGGACACTGAGGCTGGAAGGTAGGATAGCAGAATCTGAGACGCAGGGGGCCCAGGAGACAGAGGTGAAAGATTCTAGGGTACCAGAGACAGAGGCTGAGGGGACAGAGGCTAAAACATTAGGGACCCAGGAGATAACAGCTAGGAGTTCAGGGGTCCCAGAGACAGAAGCTGAGATAGCAGAGTCTGAGATATTGGTAGCCCACGAGATAGAGATGAGGCTTTTGGGGGTCCCGGGGATAGAGACTGGGGCAGCAGAAGCTGCGATATTGGGGACCCAAGATATACCATCTGGGGATTCAGGGGTCCCAGGGATAGAAGCTGATATAACAGGGATCCAGGCTACAGAGGTGGGGGGTTCAGAAGTTCCAGGAATAGAGACTGGGACAGCAGAAGCTGTGATATTGGGGACCCAAGTGATAGCATCTAGGGGTTCAGGGGTCCCAGGGTTAGAATGTGAGGTAGCTGGGACCCAGAAGACGGAGGTAGGGGCGTCAGGGATCTCTGGGCCAGAATCTGAGGTAGGTGGGGCCCAGGATACAGAGGTGGGGGCGTCAGGGATCTCAGGGCCAGAATCTGAGGAAGGTGGGGCCCAAGAGACAGAGGTGGGGGCGTCAGGGATCTCTGGGCCAGAATCTGAGGTAGGTGGGACCCAGGAGACAGAGGTGGGGGCATCAGGGATCTCTGGGCGAGAATCTGAGGTAGGTGGGGCCCAGGAGACAGAGGTGGGGGCGTCAGGGATCTCTGGGCGAGAATCTGAGGTAGGTGGGGCCCAGGAGACAGAGGTGGGGGCGTCAGGGATCTCAGGGTCAGAATCTGAGGTGGGTGGGGCCCAGGAGACAGAGGTGGGGGTGTCAGGGATCTCAGGGCCAGAGGCTGGAATGGCAGAGGCCGGAGTACTGATGACCCAACAGACAGAAATTATAGTTCTAGAGGCTCAGGAGGAAGAGGTTCAGTCTTTAGGGGGCCAGGAGGCAGAGACTGGAGTTGGGAGAGCTCTCAACTCTGGGGCCTTAAAGACCCCAGTTACTCAGCCAAGAGTTGTAGGATCCCAGGAAACAAAAGCAGAGATTTCAGGACTACAAGGGTCAGAGACTGAAGTTCTCAGAGTCCAGGAGGCAGAGGCTGGGATTTGGGGGATGTCAGAGGCCAAATCTGGGACTAGGGGGGCCCAGGAGGCAGAGATGAAGGTTTTAGAGCCTCCAGAGAATAAATCTGGTATTTTTGAGGCCCAGGAAGCAGAGGCTGGGGTCGTAGGAAACCAGAACGGGAAAGAAGCTGAGGGAAGCCTCGCAGAGGCCAGCCTGACTGAAGCACAGGTGGCCAGTGGGGCAGGGGCTGGGGTGCCCAGGGCCTCTTCCCCAGAGAAGGCTGAAGAGGACAGGAGGCTGCCGGGCAGCCAGGTAGGGATGGGGGCCGCTGAGGGCCCAGTCTGTTACTTCCCACTAATCTGGGGCTGAGCGAACGGCGGCTCTGCATGAACCCACCTGGTGGGCTGGGATTGGGTGTGGTGGGGGGCTCGGCTTGAAGGAGCCCCCTCATCCCCTCCTCTCTCAGGATGCCCTGGCTCTCCTACCCCATCTTCCCTGGGCCGCATGGAGCTGGATACCTCTAAGCTGGTTTTCTGGGCTGACATTGAGGTGTGGCTACTGGTGACCTCTGATCTTGTCTGGGGGCCACTGACCTTTTAGGTGACCTTGGCAGATAACCCTGGATCTGGAAACCCTTTTGTCTGGCCCCAAGGCTTTGGCCAGTGGCTCTGGTGACCCGTGCAAGCTCACAGATAGGGCTGTTTTGTGCCAGGCATGAGCCTCCCCAAGGGGCAGAGGGCACAGGACCCATTTATACATTCCCTAAGCCCCTCACTGTGTCCCCAGGCACCGCCTACCCTGGTCAGCTCCAGCCACTCCCTGCTGGAGTGGTGCCAGGAAGTGACCGCTGGCTATCGTGGGGTCCGCATCACCAACTTCACCACATCCTGGCGAAACGGATTGGCCTTCTGTGCCATCCTGCACCGATTCTACCCAGACAAGATGTGAGCTGCCAGAGGGTGGGAACGAATGGGGGAGCCATCAGGGAGGGCAGCGTGGATCCAGCCTCTGACCAGTGCTCTCTCTGCAGTGACTATGCCTCCCTAGACCCACTCAACATCAAGCAGAACAACAAGCAGGTGAGATGGGGTGGGGGGCCTGCTTGGAGGGAAGGAGGGTCTAAAGAGCCAGGCTTTCAGCCTCCGATTTGGAGAAGGTGAGCTGCGGGTCCCCAGCTGTGGCTTCTAGAAATTTGCCATTTTTTACCTTTTTGGTCATTAAATTGTTTGCTTTCCTGAGTTTCGTTTGTTTGTTTTAAAGCGTTTTATCTCCCTTAGATAGTTTTTCCAAACCCACCCTTTGGTAACTGGGTGGACGGCGTGCAGTTGCTAGGCAACGCTAGGGCGGGTTGTGTTGCTGGATTTCCCTCCCTAGGAGGGGGCGGTGTTGCTCGGCGAAGTCCGGCGAGCCAGTGCCTAGGACCCCCTCCGCGGGGTGGCACCGCAGTGTTGCCGGGTGCCGCAGGCCACCGCCGCCGCTGACCCCGAGCGCACCCTTCCCCCAGGCATTCGATGGCTTCGCGGCCCTGGGCGTGTCGCGGCTGCTGGAGCCCGCGGACATGGTGCTGCTGTCGGTGCCTGACAAGCTGATCGTCATGACGTACCTGTGCCAGATCCGCGCCTTCTGCACCGGGCAGGAGCTGCAGCTGGTGCAGCTGGAGGGCGGCGGCGGCGCCGGCACGTACCGCGTGGGCAGCGCCCAGCCCAGCCCGCCTGAAGATCTGGACGCCGGAGACCTGGCGCAGCGGCTGCGCGAGCACGGGGTCGAGGCGCCCCAGGAGCCCAAGGAGGCCGCTGACCGCGCGGACGGGGCGGCCCCGGGGGCGGCCTCCAGGAACGCGGATGCGGGCCGCGCCCCCAAGGACGGTGGGGCTGAGGCCGCCCGAGAGGCGCGACCCACGGAGGTCCCGGCAGAGGTGTTGGTGAACGGGGCAGGGGCGCCGGGCGGTGGCGGCGTGAGGCTGCGACGGTCCTCGGTCAACGGGGAGGCCGGGCCTGTGCCTCCGCCCCGCGCGCACGGCTCCTTCTCCCACGTGCGGGACGCAGACCTGCTCAAGAAGAGGCGCTCGCGGCTGCGGAACAGCAGCTCCTTTTCGGTGGACGATCCGGATGGGGGAGCCTCGGGAGCCGCAGGAGCTTCGGGAGCTGTGGCTGCGGTGAGTGTCCGGGCTCCTCCTGTCCTCCCCCGCCATAGTGCGGGGCCCCAGGAAGTCGGGCAGAGAATGGGCGGGTCCCCAAGGACAGAGCTGGGGTGGGGGTGATGGTTTCAGAGCCTGGGGGTGCTCGGCTCGACCGGGGAGGGGCTTTCTGATCAAAGGGGGGACCCTAGTGCTGTGGACGAGTCCTCTGGTGTGGTGGTGAGCTCCCAGTTAGGGGATGCACTGGAGCCAAGACCCGCCAGGCAGGGTCCCGGGCTTTGCTGTCAGCCTGGGATAAGTGCTGGAGTTTTTAGTGCTTGGCACTTGGTATGGGGAACCACAGGCTGCAGTAGGAGGTTCCCAGAGGATCCACGTTCCTGGCACTCACCTCAGTGCTTGGTGGGCTGGAAGGTGGGTTTGGGCATTTCTTTCCCTGCAGGTGGCTCATTGTTTACCAGCAGCCACCTTGTCCCATAAGCTGAGTACACACTGTCTGTACTCAAGGGGGACTCTCCAGGATTTGGGCATGCTTTTTCTCTTTTTTTTTTTTTTTTTTTTTTTGAGATGGAGTCTTGCTCTGTCATCCAGGCTGGAGTGCAATGGCATGATCTCTGCTCACTACAGCCTCTGCCTGCCAGGTTCAAGTGATTCTCCTGCCTCAGCTTCCCAAGTAGCTGGAATTACAGGCACCCACCACTGCACCAGGCTAATTTTTGTATTTGTAGTAGAAATGGGGTTTCACCATCTTGGCCAGGCTGGTCTCGAACTCCTGACCTCGTGATCCACCCATTGGTCATGCATCTTTAACCCCAGATGCTGGAGACCAGTATCCTCTTTTCTTATAATGGAAAGTTGGAGATGGGAGATCCTGAGGGCCCGTGTCCCTGCTGTCATCCCCTGTGGGTCGCAGGTAATCTCCCAGAGTGTCATGTCACTCTGCTGAAGGGGACATGGTCCCGGAAAGAGCAGGAATTTGCTCAGGGACCCACAGCAGCCAGATTCCAGGACACAGACTTTCCAGCTGGGGTCCCACCACTGCCCATCCTGCCTGCCTACCAAGGGACAGCTCTGCCAGGCTGCTGCAAACCTTCAGCTGTCCAGGAAAGACCACTGCATTTGAAGGAAAGGAGGGAATTCACTGGGCAAGCCTTTCTGGAAGAAGCCACCATTTGAGCTAGGTTGATAAGATGGCCAGGTTTTTCCCAGGTGAAAAATGAGGTGGGTTCTCAAATGGCAGGACCTGCATTATCAAAAACGTGGCAGCAGGAAAGTTGAGGTCTCGTTTAGGGAACTGCCAGCCATCTCCTGGAAGCTCCAGAAGCAGTGATGAGGCCAGGCTGAGAGCAGGAGTCTTGGGTGTAGGGTCAGAGGCACAGCGTTGAGCCTGCGAGTGAGAGACAGTGGACAAAGGTGATGCCCACCTGTAGATGCGATATGCAGGGTTCAGGAGGACTAGGCCAGCTTTGGCCCATCTGTTGGCCTCTGGCCACAGCCTCATTAATGTGTGTCAGTGGCTCTTTAAATCTTAAAGGAGCCGGGCGCGGTGGCTCAAGCCTGTAATCCCAGCACTTAGGGAGGCCGAGGCGGGTGGATCACGAGGTCAAGAGATTGAGACCATCCTGGTCAACATGGTGAAACCCCGTCTCTACTAAAAATACAAAAAATTAGCTGGGCATGGTGGTGCGTGCCTGTAATCCCAGCTACTCAGGAGGCTGAGGCAGGAGAATTGCCTGAACCCAGGAGGCGGAGGTTGCGGTGAGCCGAGATCGCGCCATTGCACTCCAGCCTGGGTAACATGAGTGAAACTCCGTCTCAAAAAAAAAAAAAAAAAATCTTAAAGGGAAGGTGCCAACCTATGCCCCTCTGGGCCCAAGTTCCAGCATCTGGTCTTTCCAAGTCAGGCCCTCCCCTATCTTATCTCACAGGAGATATCTGACCCATGGGGCAGGAGGGGACTCCTCATTGGCCACCCCCATCTATCATGCCCATTGTGTGTCCTGGGAGGTGGTCGGGCTTGGCCCTGCCCTTGGGAGCTCCCAGAGTCCTGGGCTTCCTGGAGGAGGGACCAGGCATGAGAATATTGAAAGAGGAATTTAAGACCAGGCACAGTAGCTCACACCTGTAATCCCAGCACTTTGGGAGGTTGAGGCGGGTGGATCACCTGAAGTCAAGACCAGCTTGACCAACATGGAGAAACCCCGTCTCTACTAAAAATACAAAATTAGCCGGGCGTGGTGGCACATGCCTGTAATCCTCAGCTACTCAGGAGGCTGAGGCAGGAGAATCGCTTGAACCTGGGAGGCAGAGGTTGCATTGAGCCGAGACCGTGCCATTGCATTCTAGCCTGGGCGACAGAATGAGACTCTGTCTCAAAAAACAAAAAACACACACACAAAAGGGGAATTTGAGTTAGACATGCGGAAACACTGGAATTCCCACAAGGTCTGGCATGAGGAGTCTCCACTGCCGCCGAGGCTGGATTTCTCCACTCTGCTGCCTCTGCCTGCCCCATCAGCTCAGTACTCTCTATGTGCCTGGCCTGCCCATGGGCTCTTTACAGTGTGTACGAAAGCCTTTTGCAAGGTGGCATTGAGGCCCCCTGAAGGTTGCTGTCAAAAAAGGGGAACTTTGTGTTCCTTAGATTCTTCTCTCGAAGCCCTGTCACACAGGACCAGGCTTTCCCCAATTTCACATACCAGGACACAAATGAAGGCCCCATAGGTGTGATGGGCCTGAGGCACACAGCAAGTTGGTGGCCAAGTTTGGGAACAAACTTTTGTGTTAGACAACCCTGGGCCCTAGACCAGACCCTTTAGGAGCATCATCTCTGCCCCTCAGTTTCCTCATCTGTGAAGTGGGAGGGTCATGTCCCTGCCTCACAGGGATGTTGGGAGGATTCAGTGAGTGAATGTGCATGGAGTGCCTAGTACAGAAGCACTTGGTAGATATTTGCTGTTATTAGTCAGTGTGGCCTGAGTGTATTTTCTGGGCCTGGCCCTGATAAGGGGGAGAGAAACCAGCAGCTGTGATGGGGAGGCCATGGGAGGAGCATCTGCCCAGGCTGGGGATCAGAGGAGGTTTGGGGGTATGACAGTCAGGGAGGGAGGCGGGAAGAGTGTGGGGGCGCCGGTAGGGGGGCCTCTGGAGGAGGCAGGGCTGGGCGGGGTCTTGGAGGTCGTGTTGGTATTGGATAGCCCAAGATGGAGGCTGAGTCTAGGCTGAGAAAGCTATTTTGGGAACTGAAAGTCGGTCACTGTGGCCAGAGGGCGGTGTCTAGGCGTGGCTCAGGGTGGTAGGAGCTTTGAGGCTGGAGCCATCAACAGGCTTTGATGTGAGGGGGTGGCGGGGCTGAGGAGAGGTGTGAAAAAGGCCACCCGGTTTCAGCTTGAGTCAGCAGGCAGGCCATGCTGGTGGCTGGTGGGGAAACCACCACTGCCCCAGATACCAGGGAGGATGGCCCCTGAGCCAGGGATGTCCAGGGCTGCCTCTCAGAGAGGTACAGGTGGGGGTGGACCCAGGCGGCTCAGCTGCTGTCTCTGCCCCGTGACCCAGACACAGGTCAGATGACTCAGACATGGCCATGGGGAAGGGGAGGGCAGGGCAGGAGCAGTTAAGAGGCCAGGCCATCAGCTGAGCTGAAAGTTGGGGACACCCTGGGCTGACAGTACCAGCAAGTCACTAGAGGCGGGCAGGCACATGGGGTCAGCCCTGCCCTTCCAGGCTAAAATTCAGAGATCCAGCCAGCCTGGCTTGTATGAGTGTGCAGCAGCTGCTCCTCAGTGTGGGAACTGAAAATGCAGCAGGGTACCCCCTTTTGGCCTGGAGGTGGAGATGCTGGCTCAAGAGGGTCCAGGTCTGGGGAGCCCTGAGGAGGGAAGGGGAGGGAGTCTGGGTGCGGCCTCTGCAGGAGGCAAGCTGGGCTGGGTCACACGGATGGGGCCATATCAGGTCAGTGCAGTGTCTGCCCTGGCCAGAATGGAGAAGCCAGTACTAGGTGACAGAAGTCAGAGGTGGCCTGAGGGAGCTCAGTAGAGGAGGAGCTGAGGCTGGGAGCAGGGGCTTATGCCTATAATCCCAGCACTTTGGGAGGCCAAGGCGGGTGGATCACCTAAGGTCAGGAGTTCGAGACCAGCCTGGCCAACATGGTGAAACCCTGTCTGTACTAAAAATACAAAAATTAGCTGGGCGTGGTGGTTGGCGCCTGTAATCCCAGCTACTTGAGAGGGTGAGGCAGGAGAATCCCCTGAACCTGGGAGGTGGAGGTTTCAGTGAACCATGATCACGCCACTGCACTCCAGCCAGGGCGAAAGAGCGAGACTCTGTCTCAAAAAAAGATGGGGAGGAGATGCCTGGGCTGGGCCCTTCACAGGCTCTCACCCTTCAAGGCCAGAGTTCAGCCCAGCCCCAGAAGGGGAACTGGGAAGCTTGGAGCCTGGGAGTGGATGGGCCCAGGTCCATAGGGCCAGGAAGGATGAAGGCCGTGACCTTTGCCTGAGGAGGCATTTTCCCTGGAAGGAGGTGGGACCGGGGGTTCTGTCCATGCAGGACTAGAGGAGGGCAGGGGTGGGCAGGGGTTGTGGTCAGGGACCCCTCCTCCCCTCTGTGTGAGTGGCCCTGGCTGGCCCCAGGCCCAGGCTGGCGGGAAACCCCTCCCAGTCCTCACTGGTTCCTTGTTCCACAGGAAGGCCAGGCCCCTGACCCCAGCCCTGCCCTGGGCCCACCCACAGCTGCAGCCTCTCAACAGCCCCCTGGTGAGTGGCAGGAGTGGTGACCATCTCAGTTCAGGCCGCTCGAAAAGCCTGGAGTGGGGACTTCCTGGGGGTGGCTGGGTGGTGGTTAGGGGGTGCCTTATCATCATTTCTGTCTGCAGGTAGGAGTCCCCCCTTGGAGGAGCCACCCCCAAGCCCAGGGGAGGAGGCTGGGCTGGTAAGGAGAGCTAAGTGGGAGGAGCTAATGGGTGGGCACCTCCTAGGCAGGGCCTGGGCTGAGTCCACCCTGTTCTCTGCCACTTTTCCAACCCCAGCAGCGGTTCCAGGACACAAGTCAGTATGTATGTGCAGAGCTGCAGGCCCTGGAGCAGGAGCAGAGGCAGATAGATGGGCGGGCCGCTGAGGTGGAGACGCAGCTGAGGAGCCTCATGGAGTCAGGTGGGGCAGGCATCTGGGGGTCCCCTCCCCAACACATGCCACTAGGTCTGCCCAGCCCTGCAGCTGTTCCTGAACTTGGGAGGAGCTGGGAGGAGGCACAGCTGGCGTCAGCATTCCCATTTTATGGCCAGGCATGCTAAGGCCTAGAAGTGGCTTCCTGGAGGCATACAGTTCTTCTGGGATGTCACGAAAGCAAACCCCCTCCCCCAACCCCCAGCTGCCCTGCTCTGACACTGGGGGCAGGGGGCAGGCCTGGTGACTGTCCCTGCCCAATTCAGGTGCCAACAAGCTGCAGGAGGAGGTGCTGATCCAGGAGTGGTTCACCCTGGTCAACAAGAAGAACGCTCTCATCCGGAGGCAGGACCAGCTGCAGCTGCTGTGAGTGCTGGCCCAGGGCTAGGAGAGCAGAGGGACTCTCAGCTGTTTTGGTTAGGGCTGTTCACTGCTTTCTTCTTTCTACAGAGATCTTTTTGACAAATTATTCCTCCTCCATCTTATTGTTTTTATCCTATCCAATTTGCTGTTTAAAGTATAAAACTGGCCAGGCGCGGTGGCTCACGCCAGATTCAAGCACTTTGGAGGCCAAGGCAGGTGGATCACCTGAGGTCGGGAGTTCAAGACCAGCCTGACCAACATGGTGAAACCCCGTCTTTAAAAAAATAAATAAATAAAATAAAGTATAAAACTAGGCTGGCTGTGGCGGCTCATGCCTGTAATTCCAGCACTTTCAGGCAGATCACCTGAGGTCAGGAGTTCGAGACCAGCCTAATACAATGAAACCCCGTCTCTACTAAAAATACAAAAATTAGCTGGGTGTGGTGGCACGTGCCTGTAATCCCAGCTACTTGGGAGACTGAGATAGGAGAATCACTTGAACCCAGGAGGCGGAGGTTGCAGTGAGCCAAGATCGTGCCATTGCACTCCAGCCTGGGCAACCAGTGTGAAACTTCGTCTCAAAAAAAAAAAAGTAAAACTGGCCAGGCACAATGGCTCACGCCTGTAATCCCAACACTTTGGGAGGTTGAGGCAAGCAGGTCACCTGAGGTTAGGAGTTCAAGACCAGCCTGGCCAACATAAACGCCCTATCTATCTGTGAAACCTTTTCTCTACTAAAAATACAAAAATTAGCCAGGTGTGGTGCCTGCAATCCCAGCAACTTGGAAGGCTGAGGCAGGAGAATCACTTGAACCCGGGAGGCGGAGGTTACAGTGAGCTGAGATCAGGCCATTGCACTCCAGCCTGGGCGACAAAGTGAGACTCTATCTAAAAATATAAAAATTAAAAAAATTAATTGTAAAACTCTTAAATTATAACTATTTTTACTAATAAGAAAACCAGGCTGGGCCCAGGAAGGTGAAGGCCGAATTCCTGTGTGACGCTGTTTCTTTACAGTAAGGAAAACAAGCCCAGAGGGGTGTGAAGCCACTCTGCGGCATTGCCTTATCATCCTGCCAGGCGAAGGTGGCTTTGGCTCCCTTTTCAGTTTGTGATCCTTTTTCAGAATAACTGGAGGCTAATACTTCCTATTTATGAATACTGTTCATCCAAATAATCCCTCGGGGGTCCTTCTGGGGTGCGTGTGGGGCAACATAAACACCAGCAATTGGAGAAAACAGTTCGAAGAAAAGAGAGAATGTGGTCTGGGGACTGGAGGATAGCTCTGGTCAGTCCTGCCCTCTATGGGCACTGCTGGGGAGGTGGGATGGGGCCAGAGCCCTGGGCACTCCCTCCCTGCGCCCCTTTTCCTGACCTGCTTACCCGCCACCTTCCAGCATCGAGGAGCAGGACTTGGAGCGCAGGTTCGAGCTGCTGAGCCGCGAGCTGCGAGCCATGCTGGCCATCGAAGGTGGGACCTGGGCCCAGGGGGCGGGAGGCAGGACATAGTCAGGGTAGAGGCGGCACAGCGCCGGGCCCGCGCCTCCTGACGCTTTGCCGCTTCGGCCCTCAGACTGGCAGAAAACGTCTGCGCAGCAGCACCGAGAGCAGCTCCTGCTGGATGAGCTGGTGTCGCTGGTGAACCAGCGCGACGAGCTGGTCCGGGACCTGGACCACAAGGAGCGGATGTGAGTGGCGCTGGGAGCTGGGAGGGTCCAGGGCGCGCTCCCGCAGAGGGCTGGATGTGGACCCCGCCCAACGCCGCGCTGACTCGAACCCGTTCCCCGTAGCGCCTTGGAGGAGGACGAGCGCCTGGAGCGCGGCCTGGAGCAGCGGCGCCGCAAGCTGAGCCGGCAGCTGAGCCGGCGGGAACGCTGCGTGCTGAGCTGAGGCCGCCGGCCTGGGAGGCCCGTAGCTTCTCCAGCCCCCGGCGCCCGCCGCCGCCGCCCCGGGCCTGCGCCCGGGAGGACCCGGCCGCCCCGGATGCTGTGCGTGTCCGCTAGGGGCCGCTGGCGCCCTTCCCGGGACAGGGCAGGGCGGATCGCCGGCCCGCGGCTGGGCGGCCGTCGTATTTATTTGTCGCCGAGTGTGTGTGCACGCTCGCGGCGGGTGCGGGCACCTCCCCGATGGCGCGGCTGGGCCAGCGGCCCCGGGGAGAGGGATGCCTGGGGGCTGCCGCCCTGCGCCGGCTCGCCCTCCTGTTCTCCAGAGCAGTAAAGTTGGACTAGGCTACCCCAGCGTCGGCCTTTTCTCCGCTCCACCTGGGCTCTCAAAGGGCGGAGGAGGGTGGGCCGAGGCTGAGGCGGCTCTGCCATCCTAAGCGGGACTATGCGGCTTCGGGGTTCCCAGCGCCAGCAGAGATTAGACGTCGGCCTTCCTGGGATGGTGGCCGGTGGTTCTGTCCCATTCAAAAGACTTGACAAGAGCCGAAATCGTTGCTCATTTTATGATTAACACTTATTCCCCGAGGCCTCTGGCTCACCCCGCTGGCCCCATCTCCAGATTCTTCCCCGGCCACTCCTGGCTGCTTCCTCCTCCCGGCCGCCACCGCCACCATACTGGAGCTGAACTCGGTCACCTGACATTTCAACAAGCAGGAACCTGTCCTGAAGCTGGGGCCGCGGGCGGCAGGGTGCTCAGAGCCAGTTCATCCTGCCCTAGGATGCCACGTTGGTCTGCAGCAGTCACAGGGCCACAGGGCCTGAAGAACTTCTCCACGGCACGGACCTGTGGCAGCCTGGAGAAAGCCTCAACGGCCAGCAGCATGGCCAAGAGTCCTAGAAGCAAGTAACCTGGGGAGGAGAAGGTGCCGGGGCAGCACCCGGGTGCTGGTGATGCTCCCCGCCCATCTCCAGGCACGGTGACCTGCCCTAGCAGCTGGTGCCACTCACACCCCCAAACACTCCCACCAGAGCTCCTCAGCTACCCCTCCCGTATGTGCCCTGGAGTGGGGTCCCTCCACCTGCAAGACCCAGTCCCCCAGTGGTTCATGGGAATCCTAGTCCCTGCTCCTCTTCCCACTTCCCCCACACACTCTTAGGCGGCTGACTTACCAAGAAGTGCAAGCTGGCCCACGTGGTAAATCATGGGGTGCAGGCTGTGGCCGTGGCTGGGCAGGAGGTCCCCCAGGCCAATGGTGCTGACCGAGCTGAAGCAGAAATAGATGGCTCCCAGCAGGCTGCTGTCACCCTGAAGGCCCCACAGCACCAGCGCTGGCAGCAGCACAAAGCTGCTGGCCACCAGCAGGCCCAGGGCAACTGCCTGCAGCAGGGCAGCCCTGGCTGGCGACAGCTGCCAGTGGACCACTACCCAGGCACCTGGGCAGCTGAGCGCAGGCAGCAGGCAGTGGTGTAGGGTGGCCACTAGAGCTAGGGAGGCTGGCAGCCCCAGGGCTGCATAGACCACACAGAAGGCCCTTCCACCTGCCGATAGTGGGGCCATGTGGCCATAACCTGGAGAAGAGAGAGTCAGTGGATTGTCAGAGCTCTGAATGTGATGTCTACTGGGGTCCCTGCCTACCCCAATATCACCTTCTACAGAAGGCTGCCCTCTAGTGGCCTTGAACTGGCCAGGCCCAGGTTCTATCTGGCTCTGCTCCTCCTTCACCAGGGGATCCTGGGCCAGTCCCTACCCTCTCTGGGCCACTCTTCTCTTTTCTGGAAAATAAAAGGATGAGGCCAGGTGTGGTGGCTCACGCTTATAATCCCAGCACTTTGGAAGGCCAACTTTGGAAGGCCGAGGCGGAGGGATCACGAGGTCAGGAGTTTGAGATCAGCCTGGCCAACATAGTAAAACCCTATCTCTACTAAAAATACAAAAAAACCCCAAAAAAACTAACCAGTGTGGTGGCACGCTCTTGTAGTCCCAGATAGGAGGCTGAGGTGGGAGAATTGCTTGAACCTGGGACTCGGAGGTTGCAGGGAGCTGAGACCAGGCCATTACACTCCAGCTTGGGCGACAGGGCAAGACTCCATCACAAAAAAAAAAAAAAAAAGTCTTAGTTTGTATGAACAATTTTGGAGGATTAAAAAAAGAAAAAAGATGAAAGAAGACAGTTCCCCAGGCCTTTTGTAGCTGGGACAATTCGGAGAACTGGGCTGCCCTTAACAGATATTCTTGATTCCACAGCTGGTGGAGTATCATCCACTCTTTCCCCAAATGTGTGTCACATCCTGTGTGCTAGGCTTTCTGCTGGGATCTGAGTCTGCCCAGGCCTTGCCCTCCAGTGGACAAGTCAGGCAGGAAAATAATGAAGGGCTGCAAAGAGGTGGCATGGGGAGAGAGGGCATGTGCCAGGTGGAGGGGGGGGAGTGCGGGGCATTCGGGGAGCACAGGATCAGCTAGTCCAGAGCTGCAAATGTGCAGGCCCACCAGAGCCAGATGGGAGACAAACAGGAATGGTGGGGACTGGGGTGCACTGAAGAGTGTGAGCTGTACCCAAAGGGCAGGCCCCATTCTGCTCCGGTCACTATGTTACCTTGCAGGGATTCTGGCTCAGTGTGAGTAGGTTTCCTGATTTTCTGAAAGAAGTTGGAAATATGGGCTGGGCATAGTGGCTCACACCTGTAACCCCGGCACTTTGGGAGGGGGAGGTGGACAGATCACTTGAGGTCAGGAGTTTGAGACCAGTGGGGCCAACGTGGCAAAACCCGTCTCTACTAAAAATACACAAATTAGCTGAGCGTGGTGGTGCGCGCCTGTAGTCCCAGCACTCTGGAGGCTGAGGTAGGAGAATTGCTAGAACCCAGGAGGCGGAAGTTGCAGTGAGTCGAGATTGCACCACTGCACTCCACCCTGGGTGACAGCGAGATTCCCATCTCAAAAAAAAAAAGTTGGGAATACAAATATAGAAATTCCAATTCAAAAAATACTGAAATGCTTTGTGGGATAAAAAATACAAAAACCCAGGGCTGTGGGCCCCGCTGTGTTTTTCCCCGGGCGTGTGCCCTCACTGTTTCTCTGCAGGACTCCCTTGTCCCCGTCTCTGCACCCTCCTGCTTGGCAACCACGCCATGCCAACTTCCTCCCCGTCTTCCCTCCCTCCTCCTCCACCCAAAGCCTTGGGCCTGATATGTGCTTCCCAGGTTCCTTCTGTTTGCTTCCCTTCAAGAATCCATCCCACTGTATTGTGTCCCCTGCCTTGCCTCAGGCTGTGGTGTCTGGGCACCTCTCCTGGGTCTCAGAGGGTGCCTGGGGTGGGGCTGGGGAGGCCACACCCTTCCTGGCAGCTGAAGTGGAGGTACCTGTTGGGGTGTGTTGGTGGGGAACCCCAGTGGTGATGTTGGGCCTGACAGGGCCTGGGCTCCATCTGGCTCTTTGGGGCTGAAGGGCTGCACCCCAGGGTCCCCAGGGAGCCATGGCTTCAAGAGCCCCTCCCCCTGGGCTTCCTGGTTTTCTTACCTGTGGTGGAGAGGATGCTGGCAGTGAAGAGCAGGGCTGAGGGCAGGTCCCAGTTGCTGGCCTCTGAGCTGTTGCCCAGGCTGGAGACCCCATGGGCCTGTGTGGCCAGGGCAGTGCCCAGCAGCTCTTCCAGTGCTCCGGGTGGCAGGCAGGCTCCATGCTTGGCCTGGAAAGCAGCTAGCTCTGCCCTGAGCTCAGCCTGGAGCCTACGTGCTGGAGGTCCCTCCAGGGCCTGGAACACCGTGGCCCCAAGCCCTAGGGCCAGCAAGTGGCCCACAACCAGGAGCCCGTATCGGGCCCAAGGCCTTAGACCCCCCATGGCGGGCTGCTGGGGTGCTGTGGGAGCTGGCGCCTCCACCTCAGGCACCTGGGAGGGGCTGGGCAGGGCAGGGCCAGGAGGAGTTGCTGCGTGGGTGGCTGGGACCTGGTTGCGGTGGCTGGGGTGTGAATGGGAGGGAGGTGAGCTGCATCACCCCTCCTAGGTTCTGGGGGCAAGACATTTGCCCATTTCACAGCAGCTGGGATGGTGGGGACGGGCGGAGGAAGGTGGCTGCAGTGAGGGGAGGAGGCGGAGGACTCTGAGGCCTAGAAAGTGCCTCACACTTATTTAAGGTGGTGCTCAGACACCCATACCGCATTCATTCATTCATTCGGCAAATGCTTAGGTCCTAGGACTCCAGGGAAGAGGACAGGCACAGGTCCTTTCCCTCCCAGTGTTTACACAGGAAACCTCTCAGCAAAGAAACGTGACAAGCTCATATTGTCATGAGTCCCATGCAGGAACGCCCTGGGTAATGGGAGAGCTCTGGGGGAGGGGGTTATCTCACTGGGAAGGCTCTGCTGAGGAGGTGACATTTCAGCTGGACAGTAAAAGGCCAGTGAAGGTAGGAAGGAGCTTGGGGTGTGAGAGGGACAGAGGGCTGCCTATGGTAGGGGACAGTGCAGGGTGAAGGGGGGATAAGGACACAGGCCCTTGAGGACAAGCATAGGCCAGAGAGACCTACACCGGCCACTACAGGCGTCCTGGATGGAGCCATTTTGGCCTGGGCGGTGGGGTGGTAGGGGAATGGTGGCAGCTGGGAAGGATTGGGTGGGGGCAGGGGGAGGAATCCAGGGTGCCCAGAGCACTGCAGCAGGTAATACCTGTGAGCTCCACTGCCAGTCCTTCCTGAGAATCCTTTATGCCTGCTCTCCTCACATTACCTGCCCCTGAACTGCAGACAGAGTTCTGGGGCAGGGGAACGGGTAACCTGGGTTCTAACTCCTCTAAACTCAGAGGGGCTGAGGACCCTGCCCTAGGGTATGGTATGGGAGTGCCAGGGCCCCCATGGCAGTGTGAAGAGAACTGTCAGGGTGCTAGGTGCTATGGTGAGTCACTATGCTGGGAGGTGGGTGGACCTTAATACTTTTTTCTTCTGAGACGATGTCTTGCTCTGTTGCCCAGGCTGGAGTGCAGTGGTGTTAATTTTGGCTCACTGCAACCTCTGCCTTCTAGGTTCAAGCAATTCTCCTGCCTCAAACTCCAGAGTAGCTGGGACTTCAGGCATGCACCACCATGCCTGGCTAATTTTTGTATTTTTAGTAGAGACCATGTTGCTCAGGTTGGTCTCGAACTCCTGACCTCAGGTGATCCATCGGCCTCGGCCTCCCAGTGTTGGGATTACAGGCGTGAGCCACACCTGGCCAAGAAGAGCCTTGAATGACTGACCAAGACTGGTGGATTTGGTCCCAGGAGAGGGATGCAGTGCAACGCATGCAACTGCCCATTGTTGGGGCATCAGGAGTCCAGGCTTGCGTGATAGGTTGGATCTCCTGCTTACCTCCAAGAAAGGTGA